CTTGTCTTCAAATCACATTGAGTGGCTCAGGGCTGTGACCTAATGAGTTTTGAATATCTCTATAGGTATCAGTTTCAGAGTTTCTATGAAAGGTCCTTATTCCTTTTTTCTTTATTTATTTTTTCCTTTTTTTTTTTTTTTTTTTTTTTTGGTAGCATTCCGGTTGTGAAGAATTTTCTCCCTATATCCTTAGGAGTTGTCCTATCTGCTGTTTGTGCCTATTGTCTCTCAGTTTTGCTATAAAGCTCCAAAAATGTTTGGCTCTGCCTTCTCTATTTTAGGTAGTTCTTAGGCAGTTGTAGATAGCTGTGAGATCCCTCTGGAGCCTTCTCAGCCTTTCCTCCAGCATCGTGTGCTTCAGCCTGCTCATCTTGGTGACCATCCACTGGCCTCTTTTTAATATGCCAATATCCCTGATGTTCTGAGGAGTCCCAAACTGGAGATATTATCCAGACATGGCCTTATAAGTGCTAGATAGAGAGGAAGAATCACTTCCCTTGGCCTTCTGGCTCTTCTCTCCATCACGCAGCCCAGTAGGCAGCTGCCCTGCTTTGCTGCAAGTGCACATGGCTGGCCCGTGTTCAGTTCATCGGCTGTTGGGTCCTCTCCTGCAAAGCCATTGAGAGCCAAGCCTGTCCTGCTGCAAGGGATTAATTCATGCCAGGTGCAGCACTCTGCATTTACCTCTGCTGAACTTGAAGGGGCTTCTGCCAACCTGCGTTTTCACTCCGTTGAGGTTCTTCTGACTGGCAGCTCTGCCCTCCAGCAGTACTAAATGTTCTTCGGTCCTCTGCCAACTTCCTGAGAGTTTGCTCTGTCCCCTTGGCCAGGTCATTAATAAAGACACCAAACAAACTTATCCCCACTTCGGACTCCCGAGAGATATCACTGATATCCAGTTGGACTTTAGTACTGCTGATCACAGCTCTTTGAACCCGGCAGTTCAGCCAGTTACCCAACCACACTTTAGTCTGCCTGTCCCAACCCATCTCATAAACCTGGCTACAAGGATACTAAGGTCCAAAACCTTCCTTAAAAAAACGTAAATAACACGCTCGTTGCTCTCCCCTGGTCCACAGAGCTCCGTCATAGAAGACAAGGCCACTGGTGGGACACCAGGCTGTGCAGGCTGTAACTAATTGTCCTGTCCTTCTTGTGGACATGACAAATTCAGGAKGATTTATTCTGTAACCTTTCTAGAGATTGAGGTGTGACCAACTATCTTAGTTGGTTCCTTAGACCTTTGTGAAGACAAGTGTGATGTTTGCCTTTTTTATCAGGCAATGTGAACCTGCACCAGGGCAGAGTGCAGTTTCGCAGTGATATTCACTCCTACAGATGCATCTCATCTGGTTCCATGGATTTGGGAATGTCCAGTGACCTCCAACTCAGTCTTCTTCATTGGGGGTTATGCCCCAGACTCTACTGCCATAACTGTGAATGTGGGGGGCCTACAACCTCACCAAAGCAGTGAGGACCAAAGCAGAGACAGCGCTGAGTCCCTTGGCCTTTTCCATCCCTAGTGCCCCCTGCTTGGTCCTCTCTTGGCTCCCCATTTCCTTTTGTCTCCTTTCTGCTGCAGATGTACTCACAGAAACCTTTCTAACATCTCATGGTGATGAGAAAAGAACCTGCATGGTGGTAGTGGATTTCTGTTGCTGTGCTTGTTCTTGTCTCATCTGCATCTGTTTTCCCTGACATGTAAGCTAAAAAACTAATTTTGCTGAGCTGTAACAGCTGCCACTTCCCACCACAGTAAATTAAGCTTTCAGAAGACCTCATATTTGGAATTACAGTTCTGATCATAACGTGGATTTTAATAGTCAGTTGAGATGCTTATTAAATTATAACACCGTACATTAGGCCTGTTCCTGGTAGTGCTTTAGAAATCTTCATCATTTAGTTTTTATTATTTTGTGATTTAATGAACAGAAAACATTAAAACTTAAAGCCAAATGCAAAACAACTATATAAAAACGTTCTATAAAATGCAAGAGAATGACAGATCCAGCTGTAAAAAAATCTTTCTGAAGACACAATTCCTGTTAAATGCCATTAATGTTAATAGAAAGATAAGTGTCACCATCAGTTTCCTTAACAAAGAAAAATCTCTTCCTCATTTCTTTACCAAATTCTTAATATCCAATATGTGCTTTAGTGAAGCTTATCAACTGTTTTTGAAAATGGTTCATTCTGGTGTGTGTGTTTTTAACAGAATAAGATACAAAGAAGTCCATACGCAGAACAGAACAAACACTTCTCCTGTTTTTAAAGAGTGTGAATAGGCCACAAGCACCAATTTTGCCATTTATGTTGCTGTGCTCTGCCCCGGAGGTGTGGCTGCTACGCTTGGGACCAACCTTCTGTTGTATTAAAGAATGTGTCCATGGTGCTTTGATATTAGACTGTATTCATGTGATGATACAAATAAAGGGCAGTCATATCAGCCCTGTGGTTGTGATTAGACAGGGGAGCTGTTCTGAATTATTTGGGGTGTGATGCCAAGCAGCAGTCCCGTAACATGAGAATTACTGCACAAGCCAGTATTACTGGTTACTACTTAGTACTACYAAGATTACCAGAGAAGCAATAAATTAAAAGCAATAATTTTATTAGTGGTCAGGGATTTTCTTTTTTTTGAAGTTTGATATGTTCTTGTTTTAAAATACRTATTTTATACATATATATATATACATGCACTTTTAAATCAGTATAGAAAAATCACTAACTACTATACTTTGTTTTTCAGATGTGAAAGATGCTTTTACTTAAGATGCTGGAAAAACGTGCAGTGGAAGAATTCTCCATCTCAGAAGCAGGTCCTTGTCTGATTTTTTATCGGTAATATTGCTCTGCATTGTCCTTTGCATGGGACCTTTATCTTCATTTCGAGGTAGACTGAAGATTTATCAGGGTTGTTTGGGTTTTGAAGACAATTACAGTGTATATCCGAATTATAAACAGATTTTTCAGTGCAATTATAATTAGGATTTCAATAACAAAACCATCACTCGAGTTGCTTTTTTTTTTTTTTTTTTTAATTTTCCTCCACGACTTGAATTTTGTTGTTGGGCCTTCTGTTAGCTTGCTGTTTATGTGTGACCAAGAGTTTTCCTATAGCTTGGAGGTTGAAGGTCTATATTTATTGTCAGTAAAGGGCTGGGTGCTGACGCTGTTGCTGTTGCTTTTCACCTCCTGCACACTTGTATCTGTGACTGTGGAACATTTTCTTCATATGAGAAGTTTTCTGTGTTCTTAATCCTGTTTGTCCCTTTTCTCTAAATTACATATGTTCCGTCATCGCCCTTGAAGAGGAAATGACTAACTGCAGGGAAGGACACATGGAGCCACAGGTCACCAGCAGGAATGTGCTCCAGCTTCTGCAAAGGGATTATGCAAACCCGCTAAGATACATCTTTGGTCTACTCAAAATCCTTGTGAATTTTTCCACTGATGCTAAAGGGAGACAAATTTGCTTTTTGTGTGTGGGTTAAGTTCAGAAGTCCTTATTGTTCCTCAGTTTCTCTGCAGCATGCTAGTACTGAAGCTTAGCCTGTTGACATCTGATTCATCAAGATGGCACCAGTAAAACCTGTTGCAAAGTGGACTTGTGGTAGGCTTGGTGCTGTTCTGGCCTACACCTTGTTATTATGACTACCTGGAGCAAAAGGGACTTCGTTTCTGAGGGGAGCTGGGCCACATGGATGAAGGGGCCTCTCCAGGAGCAGAACCTGTCTGGACTGCCCATGTAGAGGTGGTTTATGGACAAACTGGGCAGGTGTGGATGGCTGCTTGCATACATGGGAYTGGCACAAAAATGCAAACTGTCAGCATTTCCTTCCCGTCCTGATGTTCCTATCCAGCTTCTATGATTACCACATATATGTTATTGGGTTTGCTGTCATTACTCAGTTYACCTATCTCTGTTCTCCCTGCTCTCTTATCTAGATGTCTGCTCCTGCAGCTCCTGGGAGAGGAGGTGGGAAGCAGTCTGCGACGGGACCTTCCTCCCTTCCTCATCCTCCAGAGAGCCTTAATTCCATTCCCCACTTCCCTGCAGTGCTTGACCCTCTCCTGCTTAGAGGTCAATCTCCTGGCCTAGGGAATAGGGAAAGCTGAGGGGTAGCGAATTCCAGCAGGAGAAACCATCCATACCTTTCAATAACAGGGATACACACAAAGATGCCCACACTGATGGTTTAACCTGTGCTGCCAGCCTTTGCTATGGTTCTGTTCACAGTCTTTTAATATTATTCTCCTCCTCAAAGGTGTCAGCTGAGGTGCACGTGGTGCTGATGAAGGCAGATGAGGGTCTGCTAAGGCCAGGGTGTTTTGCTAAGCATGTCCCGATTTGAGAGGAACACAACTTATTTCACAACATTTATTTGAGAGTCCCATTTTTACACTTGCTTTGCTTCTCCTCCTCTCCCTCCACCAGGATTCCCGCTGGGGTCTTCCCCTCCTCTCCCACCCCTGCCCACCGGTGTTGCAGGATGACTGCTTTTTTGCTCCTTTCCCTCTTTTCTTCCCTACAAGCATCCTAACTATCCGTGCGGGCTGGCAGGGTGCCTTGGGCCAGGCTCTGCTGCAGTTCGCACACATCGCAGATCGCTATCACTGAGAACAAGCACTCGGGAAACTCTGCCAGGGTGCCAGGGTGACTGTGGGGCCGGGAAATTCCCCGCAAACCCGTTCTTGGAGACGCTGGGAAAACTCCAGCCCTCTCCTTAGCGAAGCGGGGAAATGAAGGAAACTCTGCGGCCAACCTCAGAGGTGGTCCATGAGCGAGGGCRCCGAGCGAGGCGCTCCGCGTGGATTGAATCCCGGCAGATAAGGCGCAGCTGGCGGATAAGGAAGGGGAAAAGTGCGGGAAGGGGGAAGGCCGGAGCCGTGCGGGGCAGCCCCGCCTGGCYGGGGCCGGCGCATGTGCAGCCGCTGCGGCAGCCGGGCCAGGCCGAGCTGCGGCCCAGGCCGTGCAGGGAGCAAGGCCCGCGGGCGCCATGGAGCGGCTGGGCCGGCGCTCGGGGCCGGCAGCGCGGCTTGACGTCGTCCTCCGCCACCTCTGCCCGCCCGACAGAGCGCCGGCGCCCGTATCCTTGCAGTGCCCGYGGGGACGTGGGAGCCGCGGGGGCCGCTCCGCCATGGACGCTGGGCCTCCCGCCAGCCCTCCCGGTAYGTCTTGGCGCCGCGGGGCACCGTGGCCGGCTCATTTGCTTGGAAAAAATGGACTAAAAACCTGAATTGTGGCTCCCCRCGCTCCCTGGCTTGCCTGGAACGCCTCCAGAGTGCTGGATCAGGGGGGATTTTTATCCTAGAGATTCCCGGTGTTTGAGGAACTGGGTCCCACAARGGGGCAGGGAAGCTCGGGCGGGGGCACAGGCCAGACTGGCAGAGGCAGGAAAAACAGAGAGGTTTTTATTGTTATTATTGCATTTGTGGGTGAGAAACAGGAAATTTAGAGGCTATCACATTTCGGATGCATCAAAGAAAGAAGGTCAGGGCAGAGGGAAGTTTTTATGCAGATCTCCATATTTCCAAAAAATACATGAAAACAGACCGCAGATATTATGTTTAAAGCTGAAAACACACCACAGATATTATATTTAAAGCTGCTGCCTTAATTGTAGGAAGGAAATGAGAAGTCTTCATCACTAGGACTGGGGACACTAAGAACAAATTAATTTGTAATAAAGCTGTCTTGGATGTCATTTCTCGGCCAACATGAAGGCTGTGACATTTTAGGGGATGTTTYGGGGGGATAATTCCTTTCCCACCCCAACCCGTCACTGAAATATAAAATAAAATTGATGTCCTGATCCTCACTGTTTATTTAAATGCAGATCTCCTTAATAGAGAGTTTTAATACAGTGTTGCACATAGTTGGGTGTACGTAGSAAGGAAAATCATCCCCAAAATTGGATGCTGGGGTGCAGGTGACAACTCCTTCCCCCCAGCCCATGTCCCTCCCTCTTGTCTTAGGTAGCACTAGCACGAACAGGTCTGAGGGAACCTGCACTTGCCCTTTGGTTGTCACAGAGAGGGTAAAACAAAACCAGCAAGAGCCAGAGATGCTGCAAAGGTTGGGTGGAAGGTGTTCAAATAGGATCCCATGTTTGGCCAGTTTGCCCCATGTCCCCTGTTTCCACCAGGCTCAGCTGCTGTCTGGAGCACAGCAGAAGGCAAGGAAACATCTCCAATGGTCATCTCATTAAATGGGAAGTGAATCCAGGCCTGTGGCTTTCTCTCTGTATTATTTCATTACTGTATGGAATAACACATGACTGTATTACTCCATTATTTTAAGCTTCTTTGCCAGGCATGCTACTTAGAAGGTGGAGAAGGTTTTCCAGGAGCAAAACTAGCAAAAACCGCTTTAGTCGTGCAGCATAGATTGCATTTTTAAGAAGAAACATACTCTAGGAGTACTTATGTAGATGCTTTTATACTCTACTGTGCCTTAGTGAATATTCCTTAACTTATATCCAAGACCGCCATTCCGACTTCAGCACAAGTTAGTGCCGCTACTCAGCCGGGAAGGTTTCGGTAAGTTGTATCTTTCTTAGCACACAAATAAATAATGACCCTTCACTCTTCTGATTTTTTCCCCCAGTTTATCTTAACTCACATGCTGATTTGCAGAGATTCTTTGTTTAGCTGTAGTTTAACCAAAATATTTGACTCTGAACATTGAAAATGTCTGTGGGAGCGAATAATCTGACTCCAGGGCATATTTGTGTGTGTTTGACTATCACAGCTGGGAGGAAGGCTGCTGAGAACTTATCTCTACTTTTCTGCTCCTTTTTCCTACTTGGAAGGGCAGGAAGGGGCTGAGAGTGTCCTAGGAGCCAAGGTACAGGCAGTGTCCTCAGTCTCTGCTGTCACCTTGTTTTGGGAGGGTTTCTGGTTCCAAGGGGCTGAGAGTGTCCTAGGAGCCAAGGTACAGGCAGTGTCCTCAGTCTCTGCTGTCACCTTGTTTTGGGAGGGTTTCTGGTTCCAAGGGGCTGAGAGTGTCCTAGGAGCCAAGGTACAGGCAGTGTCCTCAGTCTCTGCTGTCACCTTGTTTTGGGAGGGTTTCTGGTTCGTGTTCCCCTTGAGGACACCAGCTGGAGACTTCTCTCCCCACCAGCAGTTAACCCAAGCTCGCCATGTTCCTCCTTTCATGTCTCCTCTTGCATGTCGCCTTGCCCTTGCTCTGCTCGCTGGTACTAATGTTCTTCTCCTCTTTCTCCCAGCTACACCCTGGACAACAGTCTTCTAACCACAGAGCAAAGGCAGTTCTATGAAGAGAACGGCTACCTGGTCATTAGGAAGCTGGTTTCTGATGAAGACATTGAACGCTTCAGGTACGGACCCCCTGCCAAAGCTGCTCGCAGGGTTTCTGTAGAGTAGTAGCCTTGGGAGGTTTGGGGAGCTGTAGGGGTTCCTGGGCTCCTCCAACATGGGAAGTGGGTGTTGTTGCTGAATTCCTTCATCTATGGAAAACTGTGTTTGAAGTGGGTGAGCTGTCAGGAGGTTGCTAAACTGCTCTGTCTTCTCTGGTTCCCACCCACTTTCCAGGAAGGAATTCATAAGGATCTGTAACAAGGAGGTAAAGCCACTGGGAGCAATGATTATGAGAGACCAAGTGCTGAGGTCCCAGGCTGCTCCACCTGAAAAAATAATCAATAAAGTGCAGGACTTCCAGGAAGATGAAGAATTGTTCAGATACTGCACTCTGCCACAGGTAAAAAAAAGGGTGGAGGAACCCATGTGAATATAATAATTCTCATGCCTGCGGGAAGAAGCTTTTGTTTAGTTCTGGTAAAGCACCATGCTTTATGCCATATATCACCCCCAGATATCATTCCCAGACAATATAAGTGAGAAAAGGGTATTGAACAATCATTAAGTCTGTGAACATGGGGTAGTGGTCAGGACAGATAATGCAAGGCAGCCCTTCCCCATCCCCACTGCTCTGGTGGGTGAGCCATTGGGGATGTGTCTTGCCCAAACCATGCCAAGCTAATAGGGTGGATTAGCAACATATTGTGATTTTTTTCCCCTCTAAGTAAAGCTTCTACTCTCTAACCTTGTAGCTGATATTCAGATCTTCTCAGGCAGACATGAGGCTCCCAATACTTTCCCAGCATTATTTCTTGCATCTTTCATTTTTCCTAATTTTTTTTTCCTGATGTTTTCTTCTCTGTAGATTCTCAAATATGTAGAGTGCTTCACGGGGCCAAACATAATGGCAATGCACACAATGCTGATAAATAAACTTCCAGATTCTGGTAAGGAGAATTGGACAGCAGGAAAATACAGAAGTTGCTGTGTATATGCTATCTAGCCCAAACTGAACATACTATTTTAGCAAAGCTACTTGAATTGAGACAAATTAATACCAAATAGTTCTGAAAATATACAAGGCCACTCAGGTACTAGTTTGCTTGGTCTGGCTCTGTCTTCCTGAGGGAYATCTATCTTTCAGTTTTCTGTGGCTGTTGGTTTGCCCCTGTGTTCAAAGGTAGACACAGGAGCTGCTTATTCAGCTGGCTGCTGTTACATAAAAGTCCACAGTGAAAGCCATCACACTCTGTAAGCTTGACTTTTCACATGTGTGGAAGGCAGGTACTTCTGTGCACCTCAGTAAAAGACAGCAACAGAGAGAGCATCCTTTGCTTAGAGTTTATGAGCTRCTTTCCACACTGAGAGTTCAGACTTGCCAAATTTAGTCTGTAGCTCCTGACTTAGAGCTATTGGCTGCTYGGCGCTTTGATGCATAGACACTCACTGAAGAGGTGCCAGGATTTTGAAGCTCAGCTGTGGCTCCCACTGCTAAAACCTGATGTCATCATTCATACAAGGGTGGTGGGAGGGAGAGGAGAACCTAATTAAGCATATTGCAATATTTCAAAATAGCTTTGGCCTGCATAAGGTGTTTTTGTTAGCAAAATTGCAACCTGAGCTGTGTTTCTTAGTCTCAGGTGTCCAGCTTCTAAGAGTGTGCATATTGTGCTGTGTTATTAAAACACAGAGGTTTTTTCATGTCATCTTCATTTGCTGTTTAAAAACACCACGGAAGTTTTGCGTGTTTGTTTGAAAGGTCAGTAGAAGATGACACATGTGTAAAGTAACAACAGAAGTGATCAGCAAAGGGGAAGCTGTTCTATGTTTGGAAGACCTCCACAAGAATCCTTTTTAGGAGTGTTTTAGGAGAGAGAGAGTCTCTGCAGAGTGCTCTGGGCTCTCCAAAGTCTATCATCTGATGTGATTCATGAGGAAAGTAGAAACATCCTGATTGAATCAATCTAAGGAGAAAATACAGTGGCAAGAGAAGTCACAGAATATATAGTAGACTATTTCAATGTAGAAGAGGATCTTCTGTTGCYATTTCCATAGTGGGAAGAGCACTAACAAGCATAACATCAGCAATGCTTTTGGTGGAATCGGGCTAATTAAGTGCTGAATAGTTTGTCTGGGGAGGCTACAGGCTCATAAATAGAGATTCCAGAAAAAATAAAATGAAACAAAGAAGGGCTAGATAGGTAAATAAACATCTGTTGGGAGCAGCACTGTCAGGGTTGATTCTACTTGCAACATAGGGATGGATCAAATATCTTCTTTATAACCTTTCCAGTGTTGCTCTCTGTAATTCTTTGAAAGTCTTTGTACTGTGGAAATTTTATATAACACAGCGCTGGTTAAAGTTCATTAACCTGGAGAGCAGCCYGAGCGAAAAAGTGGAAACTCAGCAGATTACTGGTAATGGCCCAGGCCAGCAAAACAGGTCTCTGAGCAAGTGCATGGTGAGGCAACCTCCTGGAGAACACTGTGTGTCCTTGCTTTGCTGAGCTGAGGTCCRTGTCTGTGCTCATAGTATGTCTTAGCAGGAGAGTTTGGGGGCTTCAGAACTGGTGGTGGGATCCAGTACATGAACCCTGAGCAGTGTCTATCACAGAATCACAGGATGGTTGAGGTTGGAAGGGACCTCTAGAGTTCATCTAGTGCAACCCCCCTGCTCCAGCAGGGACACCCAGAGCACGGGGCACAGGCTGGCATCTAGGTGGGTATCCCGCTGACAACCTCTTCAGACACAAGTGACATGACTCAATACGGAGGAAAGGGTGGTGTCAGGTTTGGAAAGGCTGATGTTTTGCACCTGTGTTGCAGATAAGCAGACCTTCCGCCATCCCATGCACCAGGACCTGCACTACTTCCCCTTCCGCCCCGCGGAGCGCATCGTGTGCGCCTGGACCGCCATGGAGAGGGCCCACAGGGACAACGGCTGCCTCGTGGTGCTGCCGGGCACACACACGGAGCCCCTCAAGCCCCACGGCTACCCAGACTGGGAGGTAGAGCAGCTTTGTGGAGGGTGGGGGTCACCCCACGCTTGGGAAGGGTCCCCCATGCAGGGACGAAGCGCAGGTCAAAGCTACAGGGTTCAGTGGTGGGTTTCTGCTTATGCAAGCACCAAGATGCTGTTTCACAGGAGAGCTGTTCAGTATCACTCTGTGCAACTCGAGGGACCCTCTTCACCTCGGGCAGACGTCCTCCTCCTGCCAGTTACGGGAGTGAAGTTATTCACATCTTTTACCCATCACTWACCAGTTGTTCAGCCTGGCAAGTGAGGGGCAAGTGCTGCTGTGCCCTTGATGCTGGAGGGGATGAGTGCCTTTGTGGAGCTGAGCCACCGCTGCCCTGCAGTTCAGGGCAAGGGGCTGGGACCTCTGAACTCTCTGGCACACTCTCTTGSCCCATCTGAGGACTCTTCCTCTTACACATCCAGGAAACACCCGGATGGAATTAAATATCAGGTGATAACTTCCTCTTAAGAAAGGATGTTTCCTGAACTGACCTAGCACTGGTGATAGTCATAGTCAGAGCAGGAGCCTGAACCACAGAGGGGCATCTCATGCTCTTTTCTGTTCTCATCAGTGGAAARCTCTGAATTATTTAAATTCACCTCCAGAACTTTGGACAGAGAACGATTTTGGTGTGCCTCAAACTTGTAGGCAAACAGGCAGGCTCTTAGTTGAGCATGCAGCTCTTAAGGCTCARGAGAAGTCTCAAGACTCTCTCAGAGTCTCAAGACTCTCTCACGGCAGTTTTGCCCTCCTCTGCCCTGAGAATTTCTAAGTGCTCTAATTTTCATTGAGTGATTTCAGGTTTGATGTTTTTCTAGGGTAAAAACAAATTGTTTCACGGAATTCTTGACTTTGATAASAACAGCCCCAGGGTTCACGTCGTCATGGAAAAGGGAGACACYGTCTTCTTCCACCCCCTGCTCATCCATGGCTCCGGAGTGAACAAGACGTCAGGTTTCCGAAAGGTAGGAAACCAGCCCTGGTTACAGCTCTAAATATTTTTGCTTGCTTTTTAAAAACTGATCCAAGTAACACTACCTTACCCCTCTTCCCAAACTTATGAATATCTAGATGAACTTTTTAATGACTTTTTAGGTCTCTAATACAGTTCAGTTATCTTAAAAAAAAAATCAAAAAAGAATCCTCAGTCTTTTGGAAGGAGCTTGCAAGAAAAGGAGCTTGGAAAGAAGTAGAGCAGGAACAGAAATCAGGTGTTGAATCTGTTTTTGAATCTATTGAATATATGAAGCCTGGCAGGGTGATTTTCCTTCTCCCTTCCATTTATCCCAAATATTCTCTAACTTCCTTCTCCCACCCTCTTGACACATCACCTGTTGGTCCTGGGAGCCCCCATTGATCAATAAATAATAATTATTTCTATGATGAGAAGACCATTTTTTCCCCTGTTAAACATTAGATTTCACGTTAGCTGTTGGTTTCACATCACTATGATTTAAGACTTGAAGGAAGCAAAGGTGTCCTCCTTCCRAGGCCTGATCCTTTGCTGGAATTGGTTTTACTGAAGTGGGGGCTAAGGGAGCTGTTGTCTCCMTCCCTTTGCTAGCAGTAACACAGATGTCCCCCCTCCTGCACTGCAGCACAGATTACTGTGTACTTGTCTACACTGACTCTTTTAAGACACTTTTTTTTCAGTCTCAGTAGCACTTGTGGAATTTGCAGCACCAATTGAGTCCAATCTGCTGCCTCCTTCTTCCCAAGCAGMACACTGGTCCTCTGGGAGGAAAGGTCTACCTTGATCTATAAAGAAGGAGTCAGGCGTCCACAGTCAGGGATGAACAGGCATTTTCCACTGTTTTTTTTTATAATCCATGTGGCAGTGATACCCAATTTCTGCCTGCAGAGCATAAGCTGTCACTTTGCCAGCTCAGAGTGCCACTACATTGACGTCAAGAACACTGTCCAAGAAGACATTGAGAAAGAAACAGTAGAAATAGCACGTGCAAAATTTAATGTGACTGCTGTGGACCTCAAGGTAAGAGTTTGACACGTGCCCTTGCTACAGTACAGGAGTTCGGCTCCCTTTTCTGTTTGTCACTCTCTTTTGCATGAACATTTTGTGGTTTTGTTTCTGTTATTCCCAGTGCCACAGATCAAATCAGGTATAAGAAGCTGCAGGACCTTGCAGAGGTGCTTCTCAGAACAGAAGATCTCATATTTATGTGTGACTGGCAGGTTTTATTTGGCCATTTTGCTGACAAGCCTTCTTGCTGTCTAGCTGCCTTTGTGCAGACCTTGTTCTCCAGGAGGAGACATCCCTCGATGTCTCCTGCAGCTCTGGAAGCTCCTGCCCCAATTCTCGTTCATCCAAGGGGGTTTGTGAGCACCCCTTGGAGCAGCCTGAGCTGGTGCAGAGCGTCAGCCCCTCTGTGGGTGACTGTGACCAAGGTGGCAGTGTGGGCACTGCCATGAGCCTGCTCAGATTCCCAACTTCCACCATTCAAGGCGTGCAAACTCCCACACAGGAAGCCCAGACTTGCCCAACTGGGAAGCAGAGCATGTGGGAAGAGCTGAACCCCAGAATAGGGTGACGTTTATGCAGGTGTTACCCCTCACTGCATGGCCTTGGTCCATGTTTTTGGGGTGAGTGCAGCTGAACCAGAGGTCTTGGCACTTACGTTTGGGCTCTGTAGTGTACATAGGAAGATGGGCTGATCTTTTGCCTTGAATTTGCAAGAAAAAGAATGAGCAATAAATTCAGAGCTTCTCCTGCAGCTATGCACATAGTGCTTACAGGTCTCACCTCCTCACAGCAAGTGGGTTTTCGTTTTAAAACGAAGTAGCAATGTCACATCTGACAGGACAAGTTGACTGTTCTTGTTATGATGACTGTTCTTCTCCTTATATTATTAAATATTTTCCTATATCAATTACTTAGACTTGAAGCAGCAGCAGGAGAGTGAGCCTGGATGTACATCTGTACCTGTATCTATCTCCCCTCCCCTAAAAGTGGTAGGGGGGTGAGATTCATGCCGAATAACCAAAAGACTTGGATTCAACGGAAAATAAATCTAAATGGTCCAGGGGCAAAAAAAAAAAGATAAGCCTTGCACAAGGATTGAAAGTTTCCTAATTTCTGAATTTCGTAATCCGTAGAATTTCCCAAACATGCACACATGCATTATCAAGACAATAAATTCTAGATTTAATAGACAATAAGTACCTCGGTAAGTACAAGCACATAAGCACTTAACTAAATGTCCAAAGTTTTSGGGGGGAAGGTGGGGATTCCAGGCTAAAGTGCTGGTGTTTGTATTCATTATTCCCTGCTGGTTTCTGCTGCTCGAGAGCGACCACTTGCTCACGGAAGGCAGGATGGAACACGTAGTCACTGAGCGAGCAGCTTCACTCACAGGAACCAAGGTGGCACCCAAAGGTGTRCAAGGGAGGCTGGGTCACCCCTGCTCGTGGAGTGTCCTCTCTGCTGCACATCTTCCTCTTCTGCTGTCCTTCAGAATTGAGCACCTGACATATTGCAACCCCTGTCACACTCACGAGTGACCCAACTTCTTGGGCTTTGGGCTCTATCTTGTTTTAGTGCTAGCTGTATTCTTGTTCATGACATTTAGGATTAAAAAGGAATCCTTTGATATTTTGATATGTTACTACCTATATTATTACTATATATACATACATTACTACTACATTGCTATTACATTATATATACTACATAAACAGAGAATGTTATATCTGTTTCCCACTGTATCCTACTCAAAATCATGGCTGCCCCTTTAGGCTTTTCCTTACTTTTGTTTTAAAGGATATATGGAGCTTCCGAGCACGGCTCGTGCAAGGGGAAAGAATGAATCTCTAGAACAGCCTCTGAAGACCASGATGGGAAATGTGTGCCTGAAGGGCCCCTCGGTTGACCTCTGTATTGGTAACTTATCCAAAGACTGCACTACAAGTTCACTTTATGCTAACCTAAAGTAATTGCACTGATGTTTAACAGCTAATGTACTTCAAAGAAAATTCAGCCTGCAAAATCTGAGAGTTGTAGTTAGTTATTTTAGGCAATCAAAGAATTATGGTCTTGAAAGATCACCTTCACTTTTTGATGTTTTCATTTCTGGTTTTTGAAGGTCTCTCATGTGGCATACTTTCAGGCTGACACTATATTAATATAAGATTTTATGCGAGCTTATGTTTTTTTAAAGTTCCCAAGTCCATTTTCCACACAAAGAAAATACAACGAATCAGGATTTCATGCAAGGATGTAATAGGATCTCGTGGGGGAAGTTAATGCAGCTGATGAAGGTGGTATTATTGAAACCAGAAGCAAGGGTGGAAGGAGGTGTGTGATGGATAGAAAAATGGGGGATTCGTGGTCTAGAACATGATCCATGGATACAGTTCCTCTAACATGAGCTGCTGAGTGGTGCTAGCAGGGATGGATGGAGTATTTGATAGGGCTGGAGAATGCCTGGAACAGAAAACCAACCTCCTCAAGGCTCCTTAAAATTGTCTAAATGGTCTCCTGCGAGTCTGTTGTGCCTGGGACCAGGCTGTTGCCAGGTGGGTGGAGGTTCAGCTTGGGATGCTCCACTGGCCCCATTGAGCCTTGTGCACTGGAAAAAAAAAACCTCTTGCCTTTTGCAATGTCTTGCTTTTGGAATCTCTTTTTGAAATACAGATTAAATCAGAGCAAAGCCACCGATGGAGTCTGTGTTGCCTTCCTTCCACAGTTTCCCAAGCATGGGGATGGGTGCGTAGCAGGAAACACTCATCTAAAATTGCAGTTGGTCCCATTCCCTTCACCCCTAGCAGAAGATGCCAAAARTGAAGTGCTGTCAAAGGGAGAAGTTGCTCAAGTGCAGCTGATTCCCAAATGCTGCTGCTGGGCCTGCRCCCAAACCCCTTTGTGCTCATGGCACGTTCGGCTGTTCGGTCCGGTTTTAGGTCCMTTGCCCCTTGTCCTGTCACTGGCCACCACTGAGAAGAGCTTGGCCCCTTCCTCCCTGCATTCTCCTCTCAGGTATTTGTACATCTTGATCACATCACAGAATCACAGAATATTTAAGGTTGGAAGGGACCTCTACAGATCATCTAGTCCAACCTTCCTGCTCAAGCAGGCACACCTAGAGCATGTGGCACAGGGCGGCATCCAGGCGGGTTTTGAAGACCTCCAGAGTAGGAGACTCCACAACCTCCCTGGGCAGCCTGTTCCACTGCTCTGTCACCCTCACAGTAAAGACGTTGCTCCTCACCTGGAGACGGAACTTCCTGTGCTCCAACTTATGGCCATTACCCCTCGTCCTGTCACTGGCCACCAGTGAAAACAGCTTGTCCCCTTCCTCCCTGCATTCTCCCTTCCTGAACTTATACACATTAATCAGATCCCCTCTGAGCTGTCTCTTCTCCAGAGAAAACAGGCCCAGCTCACTCAGCCTCTCTTCGTACGAGAGATGTTCCATTCCCTTAATCATCCTCTCTCAGCCTTCTCTTCTCCAAGCTGAACAGGCCCAGCTCACTTAGTCTCTCCTCATATGAGAGATGTTCCGGCCCCTTAATCATCTTTATTGCCCTCCACTGGACCCTCTCCAGAAGCTCCACGTCCCTCTTGTACTGGGGTGCCCAGAACTGCACACAGTACTCCAGGTGCGGCCTCACCAGAGCTGAGCAGAGGGGCAGGATCCCCTCCCTTGACCTGCTGGCAACACTCCTCCTGATGCAGCCAGGATCCCATTGGCCTTCTTGGCCACGAGGGCACACTGCTSACTCATGGTTAACTTAGTGTCAACCAGGACTCCMAGGTCCCTCTCYGTGGAGGTGCTTTCCAGCAGGTCGACCCCTAATCTGTGCTGATGCCTGGGGTTATTCCTCCCCAGGTGCAGGACCCTGCACTTGTCCTTATTGAACCTCATGAGGTTTCTCTCTGCCTGTCCAGGTCTTCTCCAACTTGTCCAGGTCCCTCTGGATGGCAGCACAGCCCTCCGGAGTGTCGGCCACTCCACCCAGCTTGGTGTCTTCTGCAAACTTGCTCAGGGTGCTCTCTGTGCCCTCGTCCAGGTCACTGATGAACAGGTTGAACAGCACTGGGCCCAGCACTGACCCCTGGGGGCACCACTGGCCACAGGCCTCTAACTGGACTCGGTCCAAAACAATTAGCAGAGGATGGTTTCGATCCATCGACCTCTGGGTTATGGGCCCAGCACGCTTCCGCTGCGCCACTCTGCTCGTGTGTGGAAWGTGTTTGGAGTGGGAATATTTCAGGGCATCCCTCGGCTACAACAGGGATAGGAACAACCTCTCACCTGGAGCCCAGGGGGGTAACAACCCAGGCTGTCACCCAGTGCTCTCCTGCTGGGAAGGCAGCATCTCCCCCTGCCCTTCCCAGCACCGGGCCAAGCTCCTCTGGATCTGGTGAAACCAGCCCAGACGTGTCCCTCTTGGCCCGAAAGCAGAGGGGGCAGAAAAATAAAAGGTTGTGCTGGGGGGGAAACGATGTGATGGGGAAAAAAAAAAAAAAACAATCTTGGCTCATAAATAGGATAAAGTCTAAGCCAAGTAAAAGCAGCAGAAATCTAACTGCAAGGAAGATGTAAAATTAAGAGTGGAAATAATTACCCTGGAGAAGACACATCCCAGAGACACCAGAGCTTTTCCATCCTYCTTCATGGGCTCGTCGTGCTGAAATGTCTTTGCTAAAGGCACATCTACCCACACGTTCTTCTTACTAAAAATAGAGGTTGGGCTGGATCAGCATCAATGTTTGCACCAGATTCAGCTGGACTCAGACTCAGCTTGCATCTATAATAATGATAATGATAATAATGATGATGATAATAATAATTATAATGCTAGGATAATTTTAGAGTAGTGGCTCAGGGCTTCCTTGGCTCTCAAAGAAGACAGATATATACCTATGTATCCCAGTGCATTTACACAAATAAAGCATTATGCCATCTTACCAGTAAAATGACACCGTGCAAATTCAGGCAGTGTTTTATTGTGTATTTGTGACTATTCTGGATGAGGAATCTATAGGGAATATTTCCAAGGAAAATGTCACACTTAGATGATCAGTCATCAAACAGCAACTTCTCCCCCATCAAATGGGATGACATGAGAGACAGACAAATCAATACATCAATATATCAAYATATCAATCTGCTGAGCAAACCTGCTCAGGAACAGCACCAGCTGGGGACAGGGCTGCAGCATACCCAGGCAGAGCTCTTCRGCTGCCCCAAATTCAGGAACTTATTTCTTTCCAGCCCCTGTGTAAACCAAGAATAAGGCAAAAGGCCGAGATACAGGRGACAGTTTGCGGCAGTCTCAGCAAATCAGGGGTAGTGAGTTTTGTACCTAAAAGATGCTGTGACACTGCTGGGCATGAGCTCTGGGCAGCAAAAAGCTCAGGCCCAGGGACACCTGGATGAACACAGCACATCCCTACAGGGAGGTGCTTGCATGGAAATGCTTGTGGGAGCAGAGCCCTTGGAGACTGAGCCCAGCGGGGTCTGAAGCAGCCCCTGGCTCCAAGGCTGCTGTGCCAGCATCTAAGGCTAATGGAGATGACCCAGAGGGCTCCCAAAAAGTTTTAAATGTTGGTAAAAGCTATCAAATGTAGCCTTCCAGCTCTTTAAAATCACTTGCACTTAGTACCAGCTTCATTAAAATGCCTTTTTCAAGGCTGGAGCTCCAGGTTTTGAGCTGCAAAGATCCTGTAGTGCAGACAGTGGGGAGAAGCCAGAACACGCTGGGTGGTGCGGAGGGCGCTTTTGGGCGAGCTCGGATCTACCTGCAGCTCAGACACTGCTAGTTTGCACTGCCAAAGCCACCCGAGCAGTGTTGAACTCACTGGGCAGCTCAGCAACAACCTGAAGCCTGTTCTGAAGGGCCCAAGGGAGCAATTTTGGGGAAAATGAGCAGTGCTGCATGCAGCTCCCCTGTGCATCTCTGTGACTGCCCGGAGCTGAATGTCACCACTGCTGTGCACTGCTGGCAGCAGCAGAATCCCTTCCAGCACCAGCATGGTTCMACTGGAGCAGTGTGAGGGGCTGGCATTGCACCCTGTGCTATTAACTCCACAAGGCTGCAGAGGCTGCAGTCCTGCCACGCCATGATGGTTTGTCACTTAAAATTCAACAAATGTGTGGGATCCCTCGGATAACTTGGGATATCTGGGATATCTTGGTACAAATCCCATAGGAGCCGTCTCTTTCCTAGGCTAATCTCAGAAATCAGGTTGCTACCAAGATCAGGCATGAACATGTATTTCACATGCAGCCTTATTCAGTCAATATTAAAAGATCAAAACTGAGTATCAAAGCAGTGATCTGGTGGAGACTTCGTGGATCTCCTTCTCATGGGAACAGATTTTCCTGCTCATTCGCCCCTAAAAACCAGAATCCTCTTGGCTCTGCAATAAACAAATGTTGTTTAGACACAGAAATGCATCCCTGCGTTGTGAAAAACACATCAACTGGAGGTCACTGAAGACTGTTGAGGAATTTYGGCTGTTCTTCCCCTCTTGGTAAAAGTGTTTCTCCACCAATCTTCGGACCTTTCTTCTCCTAAAAAAAATGATCCATAGAGGAAAAGGCAGTTAAACATGTGGCAAGAGGGCTCCCCAGCAGTTTTATGATAGGAGTTGTAGTAGGGCTAAATTGTCTGATCTAATATTGACAGAAGCTCTCGAAAGCTCAACACTCAGAGTTCTTAGAAACCCAGCCAAAAGCAAATTCTCTGGGAGTTAATTAAAAAGAAGCTTCGAGAACAAAAAGCAAGGAGAGAAATGGCACCAAATCACAGCAGGGAAGATTTTGCCTGCTGCATCTCACTGTATCTCCCCACGCACAGCACAACAGCAAGTGCCCATTCCTGGACATTTGTTTTGTCTCTGAGAAGATGCAGAGCTGCTGGAATCTGCTTGCAGCTTACAGGAGAGCCCATGCAAAGGGTGGGAGAGAAGCACCAAGAGAAGCAGCCAGGGTGCTGAGGTGCTCAGGCCCTGCTGGCTCGTTCTTACCTTGAGCATCCCGTCCCGCTCCCATTTGAAGAGGCCACAAGTTCTGAAAGAGGAAGGTGGAAGGTGAGGACCCCTATATAGGAGGTGAAAGGGAGCAAAACTAGCCCCCCACCTTTCCCACTTGGCAGCGAGGGCTGTCACTCACAATTCAGGTGAATTCCAATGACTGGTGTCGGAGCAGCCCCCCGTGGCCAGCGAGGCTCCTCACCCACCTGCAGGGCTTTCTGGGCAGCCTGTCCAGGGAGATCGCTCGGCTCCCGCACGGACATTTGAAGAACCTCTTGAGGGCCTCGTGCCAGTGGTAGTCGTGGCTGTTCTGCACACACGTCTCCAGAGGCTTGAAATAGGTGTAATTACACTGCCAGAGAGGAGAGAGCCGTGAACGTTTCACTGGCTTGGAAGATGATGTGTCCAAAGGAAGCCTCCCTYCCTTCTCCCATCCCAAGGTACCCACCAGTCTGAGACCATTGACCTTGGTTTTGCCAACCCACTTTTTCATGCTGCCC